GCTTTAAGAGCATATACTTGTTATGAGGTGTGCAACAGGTTTAAGTAATCAAATGACAGGATGAAAAGGTGTTTTGTAACTGTGATGAATTCATTATTTACTCAGGCACAGTATAACCCTATTTCCAGCCATTTCTGCTTTTTCCGTTGCAGTGTTTTAATGAGATTGTATTGGGATTACTTATACTGCAAACATCCACTGGTACTATTGTTTTGCTTTATGGATTTTAAAATAACTAGAATCAAAGACCAGTTATTGTGCGAGTACTTTTCGAAAAATCACAGATTATGACTCTGGTTTTTATTTAAGGACATAATATTACATTACAGTACTTACCTATCAGGTAATTTCAGAATTATACTTCCAATGGAATAATGTAAATGGAGAGCAATTGATGTAAATACATTTCCCTTGCTAGTGTGTTTGGGAATGTGTGATGTTATATTTCTTAGGATGGTTACACAGAGCAGTGAACGAGTTAAAGATAGGTAGTGTGTATCGAAGAGACTGAAAAAGGGTTTGACATCAATGAATATTTTAAGGAAGAGCGGGAGCTGTGGGAGGGAAGGCTGAACTAAAAGACAGTTGGGCTGCTGAGAGACAGAGAGATCATTTAATAGACGAGCAGAGCAAATGTGTTGGAGGAGAGACAGCAAAACTGGAGGGATGGGAGATGAATGAATGGCGGACTAATCTGGACTAAGCGATCGACAGAAGAACTGAAATTAATTTAGTAAAATGGATGAATGGACAAATAGAGGCTTTGTGCAATGTTCATAAAAAACCTTTCACCTCGACAGGGTTGTGAAATAATAAGGTAAGTGTGTTCGGTGTGTGTGTGTGTGGTTTCACAGAAGAAATTAAATGGTTTAAAAAAAACACTATAAATGTCAGGAACCTTGTAAAGAAACAGGAGCCTCTAACAATTTTCATGGATGTCTGGAGAGGTATACAGAGAAAGGGGTATGCTATAGGATAGACAATGAATAAGCAATATCATTAAAAAAATGCATGCACAGACAAGCTCAGTCTCCAGACATAGATTTCCATGAAGCAATGGTAAAGAAATAAACAGGGGCCACCTCTGCAGTGCATGAGGGTCGATGGTTTTTGTCCTTATGTCACAAAAGAGCACGAGTGGCATTTACACTGAGCAGTGGGCACTTGAGGGCATCTAAAATGACTAAAGAGGCCCTAGATGTGACCAGGGGAGGGTGGACATCACTTGTAGGGCACCTAGACTGACCAGAGGGGCTCTTAAGGAGACTGAGAGCTGACCAGAGAAGCTCTTGGGTCAATCAGTTGTCCCTCTGGCATGAAATAAGGGCAAAAGGTGAAAAGGAGAGAACCAGTTAAGGTGGGGTAGGTAAGTTTGAGAAACCGGCTCGAGATACACTTTTTGTTATATTCCATGGAATGCTCTTAACATCCCGATAGCAATGAATATCTTAAGTGCTTTGACAAAAAATCCATAAAAAAATATCATCTGTGGAAGCCGTAGTAGGCTACTGTAAAAGCACGACCAATCATTTTAGCCGGCCCGGCTCTAAAATAACTGGATGGCCTACCTGCCTGTCAGCCTTCCATCTGTGCAGAAACTATCTCGTGCCCTCATTGGTCATGTACGCGTTCGTGTGTGTTGGAGGAGGGGCTCTGTAAGGAAGTGGCAGATTTTTTCCGGTTGTGTATTTTCAAATTCTAGCGATCTCGAGCTGGTTTCTCCAAAATTACCTACCCCACCTTTAGGGAGAGTTTTAATGTGCTTCATGTAAGCACAAATGCAGGCACAAAAAGGCAACAAGAATTCTAAGTCCATAAGGTCTCTTAACATATTTCAAGGTTTCCCTTTAGCATTACATTCAGACAACAATTAAGCGTGGAAGTGCCCACAAAGAGTATAAAGGCCCCCGGACTAGATTTCAGGTTGACATTGCTTCTCACTATATGCTACCATTTGGCTACTTCATCTACCAGAATGACATGGAGCTCCATTGCTATGCTGGTGGTGATTGTCCACTGTATCTTTAATGCACATCATGCTTTATCTGACTCATTTGAGAAAGAAACTGGCAGTGATTTAAAACAAGATATAAATTGGATTGAAGCTTGTCAGAGAGGAGCTGTGCTCCACTTATCTTCATCCAAATGACTTCCTGCTGCAGCTCAGCTCCCGCTTCTGTAATGACATAATGACTCAAACAGGAAAGGTCTCTTCAAAAGATCAAATTAAAGGTAGTCTACTCTCCATAGGAGTGTGGTGCCTATGTGAATCCACTTGACTATTACACATTCATTTCCTGTATTGAAGCCCTGTTCAATTTACAGTGATTATGTAAACTGAAAAAAAACCGTTCTGCTAAAAGAAGTAAACAAAATACACACACTGACCAGTCTGTTTGTTTCGAGGAACTGATGGTCTATTTTGGCACCTTGGTTCAATCAGAAAATAGCATAAACACCTGGGCCCTGTTGCATATGCATTCTTTGTGGGCAAACATAATGGCAACAACTCATCTATTTTGGTGAACAGATTAAATCCTAAAATTGCAGATTAACTTTTAATTGGCTTTTTGAAGACCTTGCATGATTATTACCAATTTGACACCAGGTCACAGCTTTCATCTGGCACCTCAGTGCCAATGTTTTGCTCCCTCATCGTACGTCTTTCACTACTTCCTTTCCCGACATAGAATAACAATTTAGAGGTTATTAACATTCTTCATGCGTTAGGCTTTGATAAAGCACTAAAAACTACAAGAAATATTAAACTAATTGTCGAACACAGCATAATTTGTAATCTTTTGAAGGGCAATGGAAAGCACTATCCATCCTTTATTCCTGTTGCTTCCATTCCTTACCACGGAGCTCCATTGTTATCTCTGGTTTAATTAGAGATAGAAAAAAACTGAATAAATGAGGGACTTGAATGAAGATGCTTTCATACAGGTGCACTCTATGATGCCATTAAGCAATTCACCTTCTATCAGGCTCTGCAGCTTGTTTACATGGCTAAGAAGGCCCAGTTGACAAAAGGAAAAACTCTTAAAAGACATCATCATGTGGACATGGATGGAAGGACTTTCAAGCACAATTAATCAGTACAGTTTTCAAATAGAAACATTACTATAGCAACCCCTATCAATAAATAGGTTTGGCAACATAGGCACTCATGCATTAATGCGACATATAAGTAAAAACAGAAGATACTCTGCCTCATCTGACTAGGAATGTCAATGAAGGACGTGATAACTTTGTGTCTGCAACAACAGTCTGCTCACAATTACATAGAGAAGACTATTTAGGACTAAGTAAGGTTAAACTAATTGCTGTCGATGACATTTCAGACTCTCTGCCACAAATATACTGCCTGCCCCAGCTTCCAGGTTAGGAGACGGTTGTGTATAAAAAAAAACAATGTTGACTGTCTGTAAAAAAATGAAAAGCAGTCCAAGTCTGGTATTTGGGTGACACATCCATGCATCTCAACCTCCTGCCTGCGTGGACTTTGTGAATAGAATGATGAAACACAGCGATGAAAGGCACAGGGAACGCCTTGTACCCTAAAGTCCCAAATCCCAGAACAAGGACTCCCTCACAGATCCAGATCTCTGTTTAAATCTATCTGTTGCCAGTAAAAAGCTTGGGTCCAGGTTCACATCCTGTCTGCAGATCACACAACAAACACTGCAACAAAAGATAAACTATAATATATGTTGACAAAACTAAAGTATTACCCCAGAATTACCTTGAAACCAAACCCAGATATATTTTTTCTCTTTTATACATTTGTATCCATGTGCTCCCAAAACAACATGTTTACTCTAGTCTCTAGCTGGGTAATATTTCCAAAAAATCCAAATGAAATCCTGTTAAACTATGTGTATATATATAAACATGCTATAGTTCCTATGGCTAAACGTTTTTAGCTTGGGCCCCTGAGTTTTTAAAGTTATTCTTGGATTTTATTGATAACTTCTTTGGTTTGTACAGGCCGAACCTCTAGCTACAACTCTAACCTTTTAATCCAATATGAGTCTGCAAAGCCCCAGATACTCATGCAGTACTTTTTTTTTGGCCGTGTTGGTTAAAAAGACCTAGGGAAAGGCCCTATGGCTTTGTAAAGCTTAGACTATAAGTCAATGTCATCCTCCTAAATCTCCTCTCAAACCCCACCTGTATAATAAAGCCTTTCCACAAATTGACCTGAGTGTTTTTATTTTGCCTCATTAAAAGAAGATAGAGAGACAACCTGCTTTAAAAGAGTGGAAAGGAGAGAGTGAGGAAAGACACAGGAGACATGAGTAAAGGGCATCACACAGGAATAAGCAGAGAAGTGCACGGGCAGACGGAGAGGTAGACAAGCAGACAAAGAGATGGATGGAGGATTGTTGAGGAGAGGAATAGAAAGTTCTGAATGCTTCTGCGGCAGGCTGTGCTGACATGAGGAGTGTTCCCAAACACAGTTAGCAGCGACTGCAGACCCACTGCATTACCTTACACACACACACACACACACACACACACACACACACACACACACACACACACACACACACACACACACACACACACACACACACACACACACACACACACACACACACACACACACACACACACATGCATGCATGCAGGTTGCCCTGTGAACATATGTTTGCTACTGGTTTGTGTGACCATGCATTGATGCACTTTTACCCCCTGTCTCCATTTTGTTTACAAGTGTGCAATAGGACCTTCCCCAGGTGTGTGTGGCCATGTGTTTATGCACCAATGTGCTTTGTGTAAAGATGTGCACTTCTGTGAGTGTGTGTGTTTCCCTGCACAGGTTGGTCCTCTTCTATCCTCTCTTCTCTCCACTCGGCGCTTCCTCATGGAGCTAGGTGCGTATCATTGGATCATGCTGCCTGCCACACTGTCCAATCGCATCTAGAGAGAGGCAGAGACAGAAAGAGAGAGAGAGAGGGAGAGAGAGAGAGAGATGGGGGAGGGAGGAGAAAGAAAGGAAGAGAGGGAGATTGATCATTTGAACGTCCTGGGCCTTGCAATCCTTGGAGTAACACTTACATTAATACTAGACCCAAAACGTATTTTATTTTCAATTCCACCCTTTCCCGAACTGAAGGCTTGAGTTTTTTTCGCTTGTTTTCTTTTTTGGGTTATTCCCACCCAGGAGACGTACCATCGCCACCAGCAGCAGCAGTAGCGGCAGCAGCAGAGGAATATCTCCCAATATCCCATCCCGGGCACGTCGGATAAGCTGCAGCAGCGAAAAACACGAGGTGAATATTGCGGTGGATGAGGACAGGAACATGGTCCGTGGAATTTCACACCTCTCATCCTGGCTGGGTACGTTACATCCTGCATTTTGTCATTTGATTTTTTTTTTACTGCAGCGCGGATGCAGGTTGAGGTTTTGCATTTGAGTGTGTGTGCGTATGTGTGTGTTTTGCCGTAGTCAGCTTCAGCGACGATAGAGATTTATTTAGGATATTCTACGATACAAGCAGGCGTTTTATTTCCGACACCTTTCGCTTATGTATTCCCTGCCTCTTTCCTTCCTTTATTGGTAATTAGAATTAGAATGCAGCGCGGCTTTTATCTGTTTTTTCTCTTGTAAAAACATACAAGGGGAGGGTGGCAGGCGCGTTTGCCTTGATAAATGGAGCGTTATTCATCAGCGTGTGTGTGATCACCACTGGAATGTTAACTAGCACCTTGGACAGCCGACACCAATACAATCTAACATGGGAGGAGCGATAGTACTGACTGATCACGTTGACACTGTAATATCTTTGATGCTTAGTACGGACGTGTGTGTGCGTGTGTGTGTGTGATTACACGGAAATTGATGTTGCTCTCTGTGCGCGCGTGTGTGTATGTTAATATTATGCCCTAAGGCCCACAGAGAGATAGCAGTGTGGGCTGGGGAGCAGCTGTGTGTGTGTGTGTCGTGTGTGTTGTGGTTCAATCTGTGTGTGTGTTTGAAAAAAAAACAAAGAAAGATAGAGCATGTAGAGATTGAGAAAGTGTGTGTGAGCATCTTTGGAAAACAGGAAAGCCTGTGTGTGTATTTTCAAGGGACATAAAGTAGGGGTATGTGCTTGCATATGTGGGTGATGGAGAACAAAGTGTGTGTGCATGCGTGTGTGTGAGCGGTGTGTGTGTGAGAGGGAGAGAGAGATAGAGTGTCACAGGCTTTCTACCTTATGCTACATGCAGGTCAGGAGCCCTTTGGTGTATTCAGGGTTTAATTAAGCATATGACGTGACTCTCCATCCCCCCCTCCATCCCCCACCACCAACCCAGTCCTGTGATCTGTGAAACATTGTGTAGTGAGGATGTGACATATGTCTGCGGCTCATACCGGATACACACACACACGCACTCACAAGCACACATATGCCTTCCTGTGCGACACAGCAGCCCTGACAGTCTGACACCGAGTTAAGCTGAGCGGACAACATCTCGTTTGCCCTATCTATCGCTCTCATGTCTATTTTTAACGTGAATAGCAGCGAGGTAGCACAGCCTATTTTTGTGATTTGATGTGTAAGTTTGCTGTGTGTGTGTGAGTGTGTGTGTGTGACATTTAACTAGTTGACACTGTGATTATTCTAATGAAGACTAATTAAATCGTTCTCTCCTTCTCTTTTCATTTCTCTGCCTCTCTGTCTCTTCTCCAGGAGGCAGTTTGGGCTTGTTATGGGGGTGACCGGAAGGAGAGGGTGACAGAAGAACAGTGATGCTTCTGTTTACATAACGAGAGACTCACACCCGCGCACATACACACACACATGCGCACACATGCTCAAATCGCCAGTCCAAGGCATACACACTTGCTTAAACACTTCCACACATACATACACACACAGACAAGTATTCAAGGGACTCACTGACTGAGTCACCGCACACTCAGAGGCAAAGAATCACTGACTCACAAACAGGACCAAAAACACACACACAAAAGGAAAAGGTTGTTTGCAAGAGCCTGGATTGCTTGTTGTGTGTGCTATGGGCCAAGCTGAGCAGCAGCTGTGTGTGAGTGGTGGATACCTCTGAAGGGTCAACATAGCCTTGGTCTTCTCCCTCTCGTTGGCTGTTCCGGCTCCCTCCCCATTCCGGTATCCCTAAACACATCATCATGTCCGAGCAGAGGACCAGGAGGACTCCTTCTCCCCCGGCTCCTCTTCCGTCCTTTTTATCCCCGTTTGGATTTGTATCCCTCCTCCTTTCCCTCTGCCTCACCATTAGCCTCTTTTCGGCTTCTTCATGGGCGCAGCAGACTGTGCCTGTCATCTCTACGGCGCAGGGCCGCATCCGAGGCATGCTGACCCCTCTGCCCTCCGACCTCCTGGGGCCCGTCATCCAGTACCTGGGGGTGCCATACGCAAGGCCTCCAACTGGTGACCGACGTTTTCAGGCACCCGAGCCTCCTTTGCCATGGCCAGGAATACGAAATGTGACTCAGTTTGCCCCCGTGTGCCCGCAGTCGCTGGATGAGAGGAGCATGCTGGGGGATATGATGCCTTCCTGGCTCACGGCTAACCTGGATATAGCAGCGACATACCTCACTCACCAGAGTGAGGATTGTCTCTACCTAAATATCTACGTGCCCACTGAGGAAGGTGAGTAACTAAAAGACGTGCCCTGACTTTCTTGAGGCAAGTGTGAATAAATAAGCATGCAGGGTTAGAATTAGGCTGACCTGATTCTTTCACATGTCGGGTCAAAACAAAGTGGCAACAGAACAGCACTGGCTAACCTTGGGGAGACATCACGCAAGGTGATTTTAAGAACATTAACTCTGTGACATTTGATTAAACATGGTAAAAAGATGTCGGGGCACAGGTATGCCATTGTTAAATAAATAAATAAAGTTTTCTTTATAAAAGTGAAGCCGAGTCCCCTCCACCCCCCTTATGCACGCCTCTGGTTGAACCAACACTTAATATGCAGACACCTGCTTCAGTCGCCAAGAGGTTTACGCCTTTACTTGTGGAGGAAAGTGGGAAGGACACAGGCTCACTCATGCATACATATTGGTTCATACACATGCATGTGACCCTGCACACACACACACACACACACACACACACACACACACACACACACACACACACACACACACACACACACACACACACACACACACACACACACACACACACACACACACACACACACACACACGATGGCAAGCATGAACACTCCCGCAGCCTCAATTTATATCCACCCGCTGAGAAATGAATGTAGGGAGATATGAAGCATAGGGAAGCAAAGGAGCCACAGACTGTTCCTGCTTTTGTATGTATAAACCCAGCAACCGATTAAAGGCTGATATGCATACAAATGGACAGGTGGACAGTCAGTTAGACACACACAGTAGATATGAATATTTATTTAAAGAAATGAACCAGGACAGAATGCAGGCAGAAGGAAGGTGGGTGGATCTGTTCCTACACTCACGTTATCTATCTATCTATCTATCTATCTATCTATCTATCTATCTATCTATCTATCTATCTATCTATCTATCTATCTATCTATCTATCTATCTATCTATCTATCTATCTATCTATCTATCTATCTATCTATCTATCTATCTATCTATCTATCTATCTATCTATCTATCTACCTACCTACCTACCTACCTACCTACCTACCTACCTACCTACCTACCTACCTACCTACCTACCTACCTACCTACCTACCTACCTACCTACCTACCTACCTACCTACCTACCTACCTACCTACCTACCTACCTACTATCTATCTATCTATCTATCTATCTATCTATCTATCTATCTATCTATCTATCTATCTATCTATCTATCTATCTATCTATCTATCTATCTATCTATCTATCTTCCTTTTTCTCTCTTTTCTCAGATATCCATGAGGAGGGGGGTCAGCGGCCGGTGATGGTTTACGTCCACGGGGGCTCGTACACAGAAGGCACCGGCAACATGATGGATGGCAGCGTACTGGCAAGCTACGGGAACGTCATTGTCATAACCCTCAACTATCGCCTAGGAGTACTAGGTAACATTATATATCTTCTATATCTAATATATCATCTCTATCTGTGTTTGAACACTCCAGTGGTTTATGGTAATATGACTGTATATGCTTTTAGTACCTGTTAAGGCATGCCTCTGGATTCTATATTCAGGTCATTTTTCATTCTATTGAGTTATTCTGCAACAGACAGTTGACAACCAATGAATACTGATAGTATGCCTTGGATGCCTTTTGGGTACATGCAATCAGGAAGCAATCTATAGTTAGACAATGCACATTTAAAAATGTCTGTATTTGTGCCCCAACACCCCGCTCGCCCTGCAATTACTGGCAAGGTGCCCTGGGTATTCTGATAACATCACTGCGGTATCATGCACATACTGTATAGTAATTTATTTTACATTGGGGTCTAGGCTTATGCCCGTATAATGGATAATGGTTGTAAATGCAGTGCACACATTTGTGTTGCATTTGAAATCTGAAAAAAGTACATAGTTAGAAGATGTAGAAACTAAAAGGGAGATGGAGCTTTAGTCAATAATAGATCTCAATCTGAGTGAATAATGTTTTCATATATAAACACACTCAGTAAGGCAATTTTTAACTAAGCTTTATTTTTATCTATCTATTTTTATCAATATTTTATTGAATGACATACATATTTATGATGAGCTATAAATAATTAGAGTAAGCAATGTAATGCTTTTCCTTTTAACCAAGGATCTACACACCGTTGTTCCTCACTTTTAATTTCATAATCTCTTTACATTTACATTCTATACACCATCTGGATTGTTTAATCCTTCAGCGAGCTATGAAATGTGAAAACCATTAATGAGGTGTTTTCACTCAGTGCCTTTTTGTTTGTTTAAATGGAAACATGTTCAGTGTGTGAGTCCCTAGTGGAAATAAACCCCCTAAAGCCATCTTTTCCCCCCACTACTAGCATTGACTCGAATTTGATCCTTTTTACCTCCATGACTCCCCGACTCAATGCTCTCTGAACAGAGAAAATCTGATTCCCTGTGGTTCTTCTAATTTTAGACGGCTCAGCACAGGCTGAATATCTTTTGCAGCTGTAATTATGAAAATGTAAAAGGCTGAGAAGGGCCACAGGAGGGTTAAAATGATACGTTGAAAGCATCCTCTACTGTAATACACTGAGTATAGAGTAGTTTGTGTGAGCAAAGCATTCCTTCATTTTGATAAAAGTCATATGCAATAGCTGCATATCATACGATCGGCTGGGTTAAATTATGCCCCCACTCTCATTAGGAGTTGCACACTATTTAATAATTCATATGAAAAGACTAATTAAAAATGTGCCAGCAGGTTAATAAACTGTGTGCATAGAGTATATTTTGATTTAGCTATTCAGCAATATTTTAAATGATTTAACTCATATGGAATATATATTAAAAGAAAGTAACATGATACATGTATTTGAATAAGGATTTTAATAAATATGTATTAAGATGTATTAATGAAAAGGCTCTGCTATAAGAGAGTAACAGTAAAGGAAGAATTCTTGGTTGTACTTCTCTTTATCTTAAGCATTTAGTGCACTTATTCACTTTTATTTATTTATTTACTTAATGTGTGCATATTTGGCATATTTTATTGATCATAATGTCATAATGTACGAGAAATCAAACCACTTCTAGATTGTCCTTAAACGATTAAAAATCGTTTTTCAAAATGGAGGTGAGTAGAATTGGATTATGTTAAAAGGTTTAAACATTCGACAAAAAAATGGATTTGAGTTTATAAGAACTGTGCTGCCTTTTCTGTCTTTTAGAAGCATTCACGGCTTTCATTAGATATTGATTTTACATGATGGCATAAATCTGCATCTGCTTGGTGGGTGAAAAAGCTATTTAATTCTGACCTTGGGGATGCAAGTAGTCTCTAATCACCATATCAAGTTTTCTGTCTTCATTTCCATCCTCTGTGTTGTCTCCACCTCGAAAATGATCATCACCGCCATCACCATCACCATCCCCATCCCTCATCGCAAGTGTCTTCATTTTTCTCTTCTTCTTCTTCATCATTGTCTTCATAAGTTGGATGCATAAGGTGAGCCCAGATTGCAAAAGTACTGTACAGTTAGACATGTTTTCCCTAATTGTACTGTAATAAGCAAATACACACATATATTATATATAGGCTCTTTCTGAAAGCGTTATTATGGTCAAATTAATATAATTTCCTTATAATGTCCAATTAGCATGAGAGACATTTCTGACAAATTGCTCATAAGTGATGAATGCATTTCTTTTTGCCTTTCTTGCTCATTATACTCCTACAGTTTATGTTATGGCCAGCCTGAGGTTCAGGGAAATTAGCTTCTGCAGTAATGAGATATACTGGAGTGGAGTGAGCCTTTAGGATCCTTTGTGTTTACCTAACACCGTCAGCAGTAATGGGAATAAGGGATTGCTGTGTCTGTTACTGCATGTGTGTGTAGATTCTGTCTGTGTGTAAGTTGATTTTCACTTGCATGAATATGGATGTACCTTGTTGAATTAATCCAATTTTCGTGGGTATTTCAGGGAGGCATATCATTTTTCATTAATATCCCTTCTCTTCATGATAAACCAAGACTCATGCATAATTGATTTTAACAGTGGGAATGCCATGAAGTGGGATCACATCCATGTGTGCTTCTGTGCGTTTAAAAAACTTCAAAGAAACAGCAGGAACATATTTGATGGACTTATTTTATACATAGTTGCTCACAGCCCATATTTAGCTCAGATTTCAGGCAAGTCTCTAAACGTCAGTAATATAAGTGTACTGTGTGTAATTACATCTCACTCTGTCTGCCTGTAGGATTTCTGAGTACAGGTGACCAGGCAGCGAAAGGGAATTACGGCTTGCTGGATCAGATCCAGGCTCTGCGCTGGGTGAAGGAGAACATCGCAGCTTTCGGAGGAGACCCCGGTAGAGTCACTGTGTTCGGATCGGGGGCCGGGGCCTCCTGCGTCAGCCTACTCACCTTGTCTCACTACTCTGAGGGTAAGGAAGGGCCAAAATCCCTGCTTAACCTTTATTCTGTGTAATATATGCAGAACAGTGGAAAGGTTAGAAATGCACAAAGAATATAGTCAGATAGGCAGTTGTGCACCTATAATGGTTGGCAGGTATGTGTGGGCTGTGAAAGCTAAGACACTCATGCTTATGAAACCTTTCATGGTCTCCAGTGGACCGATGCAGCTTTCATTTACTGGTATAAATGCCTGAATAAGCCTTTGAGTTCTCTGAATAAAACAGCCTGCCTCTGACTCATATTGCTAAGAGCTGTATTCTTTTAAACTGTTAACCCGTACCTAAAGGAACCTGATGCTCTAAACATGACCGGTCATACTTTTGAATAATGCATGTCAGTGTTTTTTTGCTTTGGAAATGCTAGTTCTGCATCTGATCATGTATGCAAATGTATGGTGCAATCATGGATGCTTTCATCCATGTGTGTGAATGCATGTAGCATAAATGTATACATGTGTGTGCCTGTGTTTATATTCTTTCCACACCCTTATTTGTATTGATGTATTTGTGTTCATGTGTATCTCAGACCTGTTCCACAGAGCCATCATCCAGAGCGGCAGTGCTTTAGCCAGTTGGGCTGTCAACTACCAGCCCAGCAAGTACGCCCGGCAGCTCGGCGAGAGGGTGGGCTGCGGCATCGACGACAGCACCCAATTGGTTGCCTGCCTCCAGGGCCGGAGTTACCGAGAACTTGTGGAGCAGAGCGTAACGCCGGCCAAATATCACACGGCTTTTGCCCCGGTGATTGATGGTGATGTCATACCTGATGACCCCCAGATTCTGATGGAGCAGGGAGAGTTTCTGAACTACGACGTTATGCTGGGGGTTAACCAGGGCGAGGGCGTGAAGTTTGTGGAGGGCATTGTGGATTCAGAGGACGGTGTCACGGCTGAGGACTTTGACTTTGCAGTGTCAGACTTTGTGGACAGTTTGTATGGATACCCAGAAGGCCGGGATACGCTGAGAGAGAGCATAAGGTGAGTGAGTCTGTCAATGAGTGTTTTAAAGGAGTGGTTTGACATTTAGGGAAATACGCTTGTTGGCTTTGGCCAAAGTGAGATGAGAACATTGATACCTCTCTCATCTGTGTGTTCTTTAATATGAACCTACAGTCATTAGATGGTTAGTTTCTCTTAGCCCTTAGACTGGAAACAGCTACCCTCTCTCTGAAAAATATACCAAGAGCTCTAAATCTCATTAATTAAAAACCAAACTGTGAAATAGACAATTTGTGGTTTTACGGGGGGTTATGTGTTGGAGTATTTCTTGGCTGTGAGTCTGACATTGAATCTTGTCGCCACTTTGCCAGGCAACCAGCAGAGACCTGCCAATAAATAGTCAAAGCACATTACTTCCATCCATAACTTTCCCTTTTTATACTTCTTGTTGCGCATGGATTGATCATAAGCCATATATCTTGTTAATAAATGAGCTTGAATGATGTTGGTAGGTAGAGCTTTACAACCCTTGATGGAGCCAGGTTAGTTGTTTCTGCTGGTTTCCTGTTTTCTCATCTAACTCTTGGCATGAAAGGGTATTTCCCAAATGTTCAAACAAGCCCATAAATGAACAGGGTGTATTTGTTAATGTACATGCACAGTATAAAGTGTAATTAATGTATGATACATTTTAGTTTGTGGATTGGTTGATAGATAATTTGACATATCCACTAAAGGTTCATGTACACGGACTGGGCGGACCGTGACAATGCAGAAACCAGGCGGAAGACGCTGGTAGCGTTATTCACGGACCACCAATGGGTCGCGCCAGCAATCGCCACAGCTGACCTCCACGCCCAGTATGGATCCCCTACATACTTCTACTCCTTTTACCACCACTGCCAGAGTGACGCCACGCCGCCTTGGGCTGACTCCGCCCATGGTGACGAGGTAAGCTGATGTCACAGTGTTGTATTGCTTATGAGTGACAGTTGCTGTTGTAGTGTTTGTAAGTCAAGAGATAAATAATGATGATAGACATCAAGGAAAAAAGTCCGTATAGGACATTTTGTTTCAGAGGCAAAAATGAAAGTGATTAGTGTCTCAAAGATTTTCAGAATATGAATGTGATGAATAAGGAGCTCTTGTTAAAATTCCCTGTGAAGCGCTGCTTCATATTGATTTGTTCAAAGTACTTAATAAAAAGAATCAAACGCTCGTCTGGAGCGTAAAATACTGTATATGAAATATTTTTGGGATTTATTTCCCTGCATGGCTAATTTATAAGCTGCCGATATTTACCACTGTGATAATTACAGTGTATTACAGTTATCCTTTCTTCTGTTCTTTGCAGCAAAGTGCTTTTGATCCACAATGTTTTAGGTGTGGTCTATTGCAATGAATGTGTCCGCATTTGTATTTGCTGTTTGTGGGGCTAGATTTGAGTCCAGATTATGGTGAGGTATTTATCAAAATGATTTAGTGATTTTAGGTTCTCTGCATTTACAAATATTTTGTCTTCATTTGGATGACGTTAAAGTCTGTCGTGATAGAAAAATGGTTACTTTCAAGAGAACGAATGTGATCTGTACGCCTACAGTTCCCTATAATAAATGGTGTCTGTTTGTCTGTGCAGGTGCCCTATGTGTTCGGTGTGCCCATGGTGGGACCCACTGATCTGTTCAACTGTAACTTCTCCAAGAACGACGTGATGCTGAGCGCTGTTGTCATGACTTACTGGACCAACTTTGCCAAGACTGGGTGAGCTATTAAAATGTTCTCTGATGTGAGATATTGATTTCAGTTGAAAAATCCCACAAGTTTTTATTTCCTTTTGTTAAACTAAACTATATAAAGACAATCAAGAAAATAGGACCAAACAAAGGTATTTCATTGCATAGCATATTTTATCACAAGAAGAAAGAATATCATGATAAGACATTAAAGCCAATATTAAATGTAATCACATTTTAAAAAGCAAGAGAGTATGCCCAGCTGTCAATAGGAAATCATGCTTTTATCTTGGACGCTCTGAAGAGACAAGGTTTTGGCAACACAGAGTGTCGATGCTGTAACTGTGGAAAGCCCAGTCATTTTTACAGGAACAAATCTCTTCCAAGCTCAAAGACAGCCAAGTCTCAGCTCTGCAGTGTCATCAAGACAAACAGCCTCTTGAATAGGTTTCATCCATGTTTAATTTGGACTGATTGATAGTTAGCGTGTACATGGAGTGGAGCTATCTGGCAGGGTTCACACAACAAGGAGAAAATAACAACTTTGATTATCATTAAGCAAATGTATTTCCTACAAATGATGTTCATATTGAATAGGAAAGTGCATTGTAGGAATTGAGTGCAGAAGACAGAATAGCCTGAATCCTTTTCTCTGTCAAACTTTTCCATCAAGATAAGTAACAATAGAAACAAAGTTTTCATTTGGAGTGATGCTGAGATTTAATGAGAAGAACACCTGTGTCTCAGAGCAACAAAAAATAATGAGCTCACAGGCAAAGGATATGTTATTATAATGTATTTTCCTTCAAAAGGTCTGTGATGTCTGGCGAGACGACAGTACTTAAGATACAATCATTAAAGCACCGCTGCAGACTAATTTTGGCAGAGCGTGCACACAGGTTCTTTGTCAAGTCACATTTTTGACAGGGCTTTTCTTCTTTGGGCTTTGGTGAAGAAAGTTAAAAGCCTTTGCTATATCGAAAAGGTCCTTGAAGAAAGCCAAGGTAATGTCCTAAAAGAAGAAAGAGAGATTGGCCTTTCCTCTCATCTCGTCCGTCTCTCTTCTCTTCTCTTCTCTTCTATTCTCTTCTCTTCTCTTCTCTTCTCCTCTCTTCTCTTCTCTTCTCTTCTCTTCTCTTCTCTTCTCTTCTCTTCTCTAATCTTCCCTAATTCAGTCATTTACGGCAGATGAGACGGATAGCTTATTCAATATGTTAAATACAAATTTAAAATGATCTGCCAGTGGCTAAAAAAGCTTCTAGAGATCCAATTTATTACATTGAAAGTGAATGATCTGCCAGTAGCAACGAATACCACAGTTGTAGAACGTATCCACGTTTAAAGTCTTAAAATCCCGACAGTCCACACTGATAAGAGAACCTTTTATCTTTCCACTCTGACATGATATACAAGATAAAGGTAATTGTTGAGGATGGACCCTCTTTCTGCAGAGCTGGACGTGAGTAATTACCAGTAATTAATCCAATCGAGGCTCACTCCGCTGAGACCTCTTCAGATTTACAGAGACATCTGCAGTCTAGACCTTGATCTAAATCACCATAGAGCCTTGCTATCTCACAACACACAAAATTAGGACAGTGCCTGTACATATTGTGAGTCTGGTCATTAACGCAGGTGCATTCAGGCAATCGCATTGCATCAAGTTAGCATTTTCTAGCCCATGTTCAGTGTTGTCATTACCACCCCAGAGAACTGCCGAGAAAAATCACCAAGGAGGGTTGATAAGATTTCCATGCACACTGCAATTATCTACGGGAAAATCTCTCTGAAGAACGGTTTCACTCGGCTGAGAGTGCCTCGGATGGTGATGGAACTCTGCGACAGATCAATTTAACGCAGGGTGTGATGCTCCCTCATGTATATTTTCTAAGCTTCTGTGTAGGCGTTTAAATCCTCAGCCGGTGTGCGAGTGTACCGGTAGGTCTTTACGCTACCTGTCTTTTTGTGCTGTTCATAAGGTGCTGATTGACAAGTAAGCACATAGCGTATAACTGGCAACTCTGTGAAATTGTGCTGCTTTTTCATTTATGTCATTTTCGCTGCTGACACAAATAAGTCGGTAAATTGTCAAATGAATGCCTGTCTGTATGTGTCAGAGAGAGGATTTTTCAAGATGTATTCACTATGCAACAGACACATTCATCTTTAATAACGATATCTGCCAGTTTTCAGAGAGGCAAATATCCACACAGTTCCAACCGCAGAGTTTGAACTGTGCATTTACTGAAATGTTTTGCACGAAGCATGTAGAGTGGAAAAAAATCAATGATCTGCAACAGAGTCACCTTTGAGCTATGTATACAGGCAAACAAAACTTGTTTTCCGTTGGGCAAGTATTCATTGCCACTGGTTTGTGTTGTGTAACGTTGATATTGATTTAGAAACATGTGTGCCAGCGCTAAGGAAACCATTGGGCAGCATGGGAGAAACTCACACTCCCCCAGAGGATGCTAGCCAGCTGAGAAAAAGTCTTCAGCAGCTCTGTTAGGAGGCTCTGACATTTGAAAAACTGAAAGGCATTACATATTGGAATGTTGAATATTGCACTAAAAGCCTTTATTTAAAAAAAAAATGACCCTTGAATATAAATGTGTGGGAAAAACCTCTGTTGGTTGCATTTCATTATGGTTTATCTATACTTTTAAAATTGGACTGTTATTACTGTTAGGTTGGTCTAAGATTTGGGTGATTTGATTTTTAAATTGGGTTTTATTTTGCTATTGCTGTGCTACTCATTCTTTTATATTTGTGTTTGGTTACATCAATTTGTATATTTCAGAGGAGATTAAAAGCAGTGTCTTGACTAACACAAGTTAGACCTTCTTTTAACCTTCTATTTATATGCAAGACCCTCACCTGACCACCAACCCATCTCAATGTGATTAAATAACTAATTATGCTTCATACCTTTCCAGTGACCCAAACCAGCCGGTTCCTCAAGACACCAAGTTCATCCACACTAAACCCAACCGCTTTGAAGAAGTGGCCTGGTCTAAGTACACCCCTAAAGAGCAGCTGTATCTCCACATTGGCCTGAAGCCCCGTGTCAGAGACCACTACCGTGCCACCAAAATCTCCTTTTGGCTCCAGCTGGTCCCTCACCTACATCATGTCAATGAACTCCTCCAATCGGTTTCCTCCTTCACGCACAGTCCCTCTCCACAGGATGACACTCCTTATTCTTACACTAAGCGTCTTGCCAAAGCTTGGCCGCCAGGCAGTACACGTCATCCAGGTTCACAGGCAGGAACTCCACAGCCACCAGAGGCTGCTTTAGGCCAAGGTGGACCGGAAGAAGGGGTCCGCGTCCCGAATGAGGACTACTCAACTGAACTCTCGGTGACGATTGCGGTGGGAGCGTCACTGTTGTTCCTCAACATCCTGGCATTCGCCGCTCTGCTGTACAAGAAGGACAAGAGGCGTCTGGAACATCGCCGTCCACTTCCTCCCCCGAGACGAGATATCACGCCTGCAGACGTCGCCGCCCACCTGCAGGGGGAGGGTCTGATGTCACTACAGGTGAGCCATGTGTTTTTCTCTTTTAATTATGCTTTTTAACCATAACTATAACAATGTGTGTGTTGCCTGTGTGTGCTTCTGTAGCCACATAATGTTAAGTTATTTGAAAGTAGGACTGCAACTAACAATTATTTTCATTATCGATTAATCTTTAATGAATAAAGGATTCATTGTTTGGTCTATAAAATGTCAGAAAATCCTAAATAAAAAATATCAATCCCATTTTCTCAAAGGTGATGTCTTTGAATATCTTGATTTGTCGGACTAATCCCCAAAGATATTCAGTCTCATGTGATTTCTCCAATTTTGAGAGGCTGAAAACAGCATTGCCATGAAAATGACTTTAATGATAAGTCGATTATTAAAATATCTTGCGATTATTTCTCTATCTACTGATTGATTATCCCACTAGTTGTTGCAGATTTTATTTAAATATATAACGCCTATTGTTAATAATCATGCATATTATTATACCTTTAAGAAACATTAAGCCAGTAGAGGATTTGTGTTTGGGACTGAATGGACCCGTTTGCTGCCAGAGCAGAAGCTGCCAGCAGAGCACTTCTGCAAAACACAGCCTGTCATCGGCAGACATTAGTGTGTGTTTGTGTGTGTATCTGTGAGTGTGTTTTGATGCTTGTGCATGTGTGGGCTGTGTCCAATTGCCTGAATTGCTTCCAATTGCCGCCAATTCATCCTCCAACTATTTGGCCTCTTTTGAGCTCAGTTAGTGGCTTTGGAATCTGCCACAGTGAATGCTAAATGTCAGATCCCTTCTAAAGCGCGCAAATACTGGGAACTGGCTTTTGAACCACAGTGATGTAGCTCTGCATTGCAGCTGCTTTTGGAATTGTGTTTTATTATTTTAAATATCTTTGTGTGGCTTTCGTGCACATTAGATCTGACGTGACAAGGAAAAATGAAGACTTTTTTCTATTCGAATATTATTATGCACTGCATGCTCGTGTAAATTCATTTTAGAAACAACATGCTGGCCTTGCAGAGGCTAGACATCACCTTGAAATAAAGTCAGTAGTGCTTTGGATGATGATGACAAATAGCATTGGTACGGTTTAATTAGTTTGACTGCCAGATGCTTGATCTGAAACTAATTTGACTGGAGTAATCCCTCAAACTTCAAGAATGTGGACTCTTAATAGATATTCTCATAAATCTGAATGTGTCATAGTGGTGATTTTAAGACATGTAAGCTTACAGAGCGTGATGATTTCTTTTGAGATGTGTTTGTTTGATTGAGAGGTGTCTAAGTCAATTACACTAACACATAGATGGAGAGTAGAGGCCATTTTCACCCTTTATACTTTTACATGATTTTCATACACAAACTTAACTTACATTTTTGTCATTTATATTTAGGCTGCATGATAATAAGGTATTATTAAATATGGTTTTTTGTAGGATTTTTTCAATTATTTAGAAGTTATTGTTAATGACAGATGATATTACCTCAGTTTTACTTTTGTATACATACTTGTGGATACATTTGCAATATCATGATACATAAAAGGAATACAAATAAAAACAAATACAAATATTGTTATTATGATTTTGGCCTTATCACCTAGCCATAAAAAAAATAATGAATAGTAAATAAGTCATAAAATGTTTTATCGAAAATGATGCAGTGACTAATTCACCCTGGACAAGTTTCTCTCACTTTATGTATCTTTGTGTCTCCACTGCTTTTACTCCTGTTGTCTAATATAAATATTCGCCCCACCTTTTTAGGTGAAGCAGCTGGAGTGTGATGCTGCGTCAGCAGACGAGAGGAACAACCTTCACCACCATCACACTCTGGACACGCTGGACGCTCTGGACGGCATGGACACCCAGGACATCTACAGCACCCTGGACACTGTGCGCCTCACCTGCCCTCCAGATTACACCCTCACCTTGCGCCGCTCGCCCGACGACGTCCCCCTCATGACCTCTCTGACCCCAGGTTCACTGCCCGTGACTCCTGGGTCACACCCTGTTACCCCGGCGACACCGATGACCCCCATGACGCCTGGATCAGTGGTGGGGATGAGAATGGGGCATCCGCACCAAGGATACACGCATCATAGCCCATACAGTAATACACACTTGCCACACACACACATCTCAACGCATACACACTCCACCACACGTGTATAACCGCCGCAGCAAGATACTTGCACACACAGAGACATAATTACAACACACATAAAAACACACACACAAACACATACCCATTAAAACACAGACACACACGTAAAACAAAAGACTTAAATACCTCTACTAATTACCCTGCAGGATTGTTACAGGTGGAGTGACAGAAAGACATTTTCAGTAACAGGATGAAAAGACAGACAGCTGTGTGTTGCATGTCGGGAAACTCAAGACACTGGATCCCGGGAGATGCAGTTCTATGCATCATTTGCTCATAACCTTGAACGAGACGCGCCAAGACAAGACATCCATCAAATGTCTCAAAAGCTGCTTTGGATATTAAATCTTCTGCTTTTTCTACACCTGAGGAGGAAGAGGAGGAGCGCTGTGGCAAAAGGGTCAGTTATGGATCAGTTTACATCTCCTACTGTACCTGTGCTGCGCAGTGAAGCAGTGCTGGGACTGAGCAGAGCAGATGCAGATGCAGAACGGAGCTAAGAAGTACCACACACAGTCTGCTGATGTCAACTTGAACAACCTGTGAAATGTGAATGTAGCATTTTTTTCCATTAAAAGATCCAAGGCCCTATCTGCCAAGGATCAACCTAAGCTGAGGAGAAAATAACAAATTTCAGCAAGAGATGGATGTAAAGACAGACAGACAGGAAGAGGGGATTAAAAAAACAACATTAGCTGAAGGAAAAGTTCGTCAGATGGTGGGAAAGAGATTAAGATTTTATTGAGAGGGATTTAACAGCTGTGAGAGCGAGAAAGAAGTGAGATAGAGTGATATAGAAAACACAGAAATGGAAATGTGCCAAGAGACATAAATTAGCTTCAGAAGATGAAAGGGCCTCTGAAGTTTTGTCAGACTTACTGAAGAATCACTCTAACCAGCTATGTGTTAAACTCTTGTAAATAGAATGGAAAGATACAGACGATATACTATGATTTATAGCATTTACCTGCTCTTGCATTAAAACATGACTTATTTAACCACATTATTGCTTTCATTTCAGATATTACTATATTATTGTATAGGTGTCCTGAAGCAAGGCTGGTGTCTCTCTATCTCACCCAATGTAATATATACACAGTACCTTTATTAAAGGCTATGCACAGTCATTTCAATAATTCTTAAACTGTGTAAACATCTTGATACTCGTTTAGTCGTTGAAGTATAGGACATCTTCACATCATCCTGTCTATTTGTTTGACCATCAGATATTGAGCTAGTACTGTGTAGATAATGCAATATTGGTTTGACGATTGAGCACCAGCCAAAAACCATGACCCTTTGAACCTAATACCTTCCCTTTCCCCTTCTCCCCTTATTCCTTATTAACCTCGTAATTCCTTAGAAATCCTGCTTTATTTAATTTTACTTTAGTTAAATGTGGTGGAGATTCACTGGGGCCAAGTCACATCTCACCTCCCGAGAAAAAAATAATGCTTTTACTTATTGTTCCTACCCTTTTACACCATGTATTTCTAAGAGTCCCTGCTTAAACTACCTAATGCTGACTGAAACCTTGTTTAAATTCAAAATCACTCCACAGTAACACAGATTCTGTACAAAAACATGGATCGGTCTCCGACATTTTAAAGCCTGGAGTTTGGTTTACTAGCTGCCAGCATGTTGTCAATTGTTCGGAGCCAGATTTGATTTGATTAATTAGGTTGAGCCTCTGGATGATGAGCGCAGCTTTTTGTGATAATTTGACTTGACATTCAAGGCAAACATGCCTCTGAACATACCAGTTTGTAAGTGTAAGTGTAAACAGCTTCTTAATGGTTCCAAATGTGTTGAAATTGCCACCAACACATGAATTCAAAGAAGGGAATTCATCTTTTAAATCCCCCCAACATCTTGAGGAAATAATGATGGATTTTATTTCAGAGAGAGCTTTTTCCTGCTGACTTCACAGTTAATTATTGAGGGTACTGCTGGTTACTGCTATGTGTCATCAGAATAAGATTAGCAGCATTCACAAAATCAATTTCAGCCAATTCATAATGGAGGGTATTTGGCAAAGATAGGGAACTGTCATGGGTTCCATAAAAAAAAATGAACAATGGCAAATCCCACACCTTGATTCCCCACCAGTAAGTTAACTGAAAGTCCCTTACCTTGATAATGTAACTTTCCTGCTTAATCCTCTTTTCCTGCTCCTTTCCTTACTTACCTTACCCCCATCCACCCTGCACCCCCCCCCCCCTCCCAGCCTCATCTGTGCGACTACATGCAGCTTTGTCACAGTGAGGCCTATTTAACCTCCTCTCATCCTAAGTAACTTCTTCATGAGAGATATTAGTTATTTATCAACAGAACACATGAAAAATGAAAGCTGAAAAATCTGTGGATGACAAGCAAAGAACTTTTACAAAATGATATAAAATAACATTTAAAGGATGTTTGATTGACTGAATATTTTTTTCATATGGGTTTATTGACTCAGCGGATGGCTGGATTGTGTCAAGCATAAACATTTCTGCTGCATTTTTGAAAAATAAAAATATCAGTATTTTACAGTTTATGAGCATTTGAAATGTCTTGTATGTCTTAATTCAGAATATAATGATAGTTTTTAAATAAATATAAAGGGGGTGGGGGCTTTGCTAATGCACCCTCTTGTTTTATTAGGAATTAGTACTTACCACAGAATTTGAATTTAAATAGTTCACTTGGTTTTGATAATTGAAAAGTTACAGTGGTAGATTTATATTGATTCCAAAAGAATATCATGTTTTTTTTTTATAGGAAAAACATATTTATGGATTTATATTCCAACCACAATTTGTCATTTTTAGACCTAATTTAGTGTATTTTGATATAAACTGTTTAGGAAAGTATAGAGGTGTGTGTAGGCAGACCTTTTAAAAATATTTGAACAGAGCCAAGCTAGCTTTTCAGTCTTTATGCTAGGCTAGGCTAATTAGCAGCTCGCTGTACCTTTTATATTTAACATCCATACATTACCTGCGTAGTATTGATAGGTATTCCCTAAAATGTCATTCCTCCAGTTTCTATTGCTGTTCATCTATTGTTAAATCTGAGTCTCTAGGATTTAAAAGCAATGTTCCCAAAATGCTATATGGATTATCGTACGCTTTTCTCCTTAGTGCATATGTTGTACATTTTCGGAAATCCTTACTGCAGCAAAATGAGGCGATATTATTGTAAATCAACAGCCCCTGCCAGCTGGCCAAGGAGACCCTGTGAGATGTGAAAGAACCAAATTCATGGCTGACTTCCAGACCAGATTGATGTCTCCTACAGTGTGTCCTCGCTCTAATCCCATTAACTAGATATGACTGCAGTTAATTTGATTTACGGCCTGCAACACAGTAGAAGGCATGAGTTCAAGTCATGATCAGGTGTTTTTTTGTTAGATGTCAACATGTGCCGAAAGGGGGCTGAGAAGCCAGTGTACGTTTTTCAGAACCGAAAAGTCACGCTAACATTGACATTTCAATTTGACAATTGACGAACAACAGCCTATATGATGGACTACTTTTTACTAAATTAAAAGACCATTGGACACAGAAACACATTCTTCCACAGTTTAATGGAACATCTCATATTTCTGTCTTGGATTTCTCTTGAACGGCACCAACATGATTGAGGTTATTTTAACAGGATATGTTTAAGAGGTGGGGAAGTTTATCTGCCAAGTGCAGCCAAGAAATAATGTGTGTAGCAGGATATATCCAGATGGTGGGGATTGGAACATTTTCACAGATACCTGACTAATATTTAAAAGATTAATGTGAAGCATCTGGAGACTATTTAAAAGTAATAACTGGCAGTATTTGATAACTGCTAAATCTCAAGCAATAATTGATTGAGTCTCAGCTAATCTAATACTTCAATGCTGTTTTCACAATGTTCCAAAGTTAATCTTCATCACAGAGCTCACGCATCACGTGTGATATGCTGTAAACATGCTCAGTGAGTCTAAGCCCAGTTTTTGTGACGATGTCTATTGTGACAAATTGCCTGTCTTGTCCGGTAGCTTACATGTCTAATGGAAGGGAAATTTGCTCGAAGCAGAAACAGAGCAATGAGTCACGACACCCTCTGATGGGATGTTTAGCCACTTGGTTTAATAACGACTAAACATAGAAATTGTTTAAATAAGACGGAGAGTCTACAGCCATGTTAGGGGCCCTGAGATGCTGCATTTAAGCACAGTAATGCTTTGAGTTAAATGCTCACAATTGTTATCATGACAATGCTAAACTGCTAATGTTTTACAGTTTTAATGTTTAATGTGCTCACCATCTTGGTTTAGCTTTTTAGCATAAACTCATTAATCAGTAGATACCTCGCTGTCGAGGTTTTTGGTTATAAGACAAAGTATTGGAACAAAATTAAATTATAAATAATTATGGGACCAAATGAAAAGTCTGCAGGTCACCAAAGTTATTACATTTCATCCTTTTGGGGCCATGAATCTTTGTCTTCATTTCTTTTTATTGCCACTCATAGAGCCAAGCTGCTGGCTCTGCTAAAAAAATCAAATTATTGTACAGTGTTATTCCAGTACAGAATATGATTAAATGGTGTCCGATAGACATAAAAGATACTTTTGCTTGTGTTGCATCCCACATTCTGAAAGACCGTGACAATGTCCACTCCTTCTGCTCTATTATTTCTAGGAGAATCAAGGGAAGTAGTGGGGGCGGGTGGAAAATAGTGCGAAAAAAAAGTAGAAGGAGCATTTGAGCTGGTATATTGAAAAAGGAGTAGAAGTGGATGATGCCTGATGAATGATAATAGGACGTGGAGAGGGAGGCTGTGAATGAGCTAATGTACAGAAGAGTAAATGTAAAGGATGCATTGAAGCAGGAGAGGAGAGTAACAGATAAGGGGAACTCATTAAGGTATGGAACACAGCCTGCCTGGTTGTTTACTGGCTGACAGGCTCATTGTACTTAATCACTCCTGCCAAGATGCACACACGCACGCACGCACGCACGCACGCACGCACGCACGCACGCACGCACGCACGCACGCACGCACGCACGCACGCACGCACGCACGCACGCACGCACGCACATACACACACACACACACACACACACACACACACACACACACACACACACACACACACACACACACACACACACACGCCTCATACTTGAGTCACTGAATATTTTTTTTCTGCCACTTTCATCACTCTCTCTATTACACTATCCTCCTCTTATCTCTTCCCAGCTCTTTCGCCTCCCTCTCATCCTCTCTTCTTTGTGCTTTGCTTTGTATATCTGTCTTTTTCTTTTACCCCTCCTTCACCTCCTGTTGGTCTTCCCACTATCACAATCTTTCCCTATATTCCTTTGTCACCCCCCCCCCTCCTCTGCCTGGATGGGTTCCTTCCCTCTTATCTAATAACCTTGAGATGATCTTCAAAGCTACATTGCAGCCGAGCATGTGAGGTCACAGCGTCTCCATTCTTTCTTCTCCTCTTTTCTCATCTGCCTGCGCCTCTCTTTCCACTCCTCTCTCCTCTCCACTGCACTTCACTACTCTTATTTTTGAGCTCTTCTTCTTGCATCTAATGTGCCCTCCTCCTCCTCCTCCTCCTCCTCCTCCTCCTCCTCTTCCTCTGCCTCCTCCTCACTTTCTCTCTCTCTGCATCCTTTCACATTATTCTATCTCACCCTTTTTGCTCCTTATATCTGTTTCTCCTCTTCTCTCCTTTTTCTCTCTCTCCCATCCCCCTTCCTCACATTGCTGCCCCCCCCCCTCTTTATGCCCAAGTCATTTACTTCCCTCCTTGCTCTTTTCATCCCGGTTTTCTTCACCCTCTCCTCATCTAAAAAGCCGTGAAAAGAGGTGATACAAGGTTCCTTTGTGGTGTGTGCGTACATGCCTGTAGTTGCACGTGTCTGGGTTTCAGAGTGTGGGTGTGTTGTTGTGTGGATGTTACACGGCTAACTGTCTTTAAAGCAGCCAAGAGCCCTGCAGTCTTTTCCTTCTCTAATTAATTAAGCATGGGATGCTTTAGTCTGTTTATTGCTTGTCTGTCTCATTTGCTTTTTATCTGTTGACTATGTCTCTCTCACCTCTTTTTTTCCCTACCATGTTTATATGTCAGCTTCAGCTGTCTCCCTGTCTTGCCTGTCTAACCCTCCTTTTATCTTTCTGTCTTTGGCTCTCTCTTTGATTGTATGCTCCATCAGACTTCTCTCTGTGGGAGAATTGCTACATAATTCAGTCTGCTCTGATGCCCGCTGCTTTTCATAAAGGAGCGTAAACAACAGCAGTAACACACTTGGTCCAGCTGAGGTCAGCATTGTTCCTGATACATTAACAGCAGGAAAGGATCCCTTAGGGACAACGTGTAGGGCGACATTGTAACCTTATGTGCGGTTTTTGTTTATTTTATTTTAGTGCATTATAATTATAAGCGAAATAGGGGTGAAAAGAATAATCAGTTTCCTCACAATTTCAGGAGAATCTTATCCCACATCTGGTCAGTTGTGCATTCACAACTTGTTTAATTTTAGCAAAATAGTACTGTGCAGGAAAGTCAACACATTTTCATTTTCAGCAGTTCATACAGTACTTATCTGTTCTTTATTTTCTTAAGGAAGGATGGTGGAGAGTGTGTCTACAATTCCCAGGCTGTCCTGCTTCTAGACAGGATTGTTTGTGTGTGTGTGTGTGTGTGTGTGTGTGTGTGTGTGTGTGTGTGTGTGTGTGTACCATTCACATGGAACCTTCTGATCCGCCTGATCTGTGTGCACTGCCCTCAAGTAGTAGAGAGCGACAGATGAGTGAGTGTATGTGTGTGTATGTGTGTTATTGTTGGCCTGTGATATCGCTCAGACAGGAAGGAAGTTCGGATTTACTGCTAAATCTCTCTTACCAAATACACACACGCACGCACGCACGCACGCACGCACGCACGCACGCACGCACACACACGCACATGCACATGCACATGCACATGCACGCACACAGAGTAGGCCCATAACCGGGGTGTGAACTGTCCATGATTTGGTGAAGATAAAGTCTGATCATCTCACACCCTGCAGCCTCCATCTGTTTTTTTTCTCCTATCCAGGCAGACTCTAAGGTCTTTTCTGTTTACTTTCGTCTGGTAAAATTCCTCAAAGGTTCTCATGCTGTTGCTTTAAGCCTCAACGTTGCCCCAAAATAGCCTAGAAACAAGCCTAATTGGTATTGCAATGTGACCTCCTGTGTGACACTGAAGCCCACGGTGCTCAAGGTTGGTCCGGCTGCTAGTGTTTGTTTGAGTTTGCAGCACATCTCGATATTCCCACTGGGTCTCATTTATACATTTTTCCGAGTGTTGCTATATTAAAATGAACTGAATTACCGGGTGTAGTAAATTAATGCAGATGACACCTCATTGTTTTTGTCTGTGTTATTGCTCATTTTATTCCATCCTGCCACATTTTGCTGTCTCAGCTATGGGACGTATGACTTCCCCTTTTCAAGGATCCATGCATTTTTCTTCCTTAATAGCTTTATCAGGTGCTTTCTTCC